TTCTTCTTCTTCTTCTTCTTCTTCTTCTTCTTCTTCTTCTTCCTAACTTGACTTCATTTCATCTTTGGTGCTGCTGTCAAGGGTGCCTCTAGATCAGGGGGTCTCCATCCTTGGCAACTTTAAGACTTGTGGATTTCAGCTCCTAGGGCTTTGCTGGCTGAGGAACACTGGGAGTTAAAGTCCACAAGTCTTAAAGTTGCCACAGTTGGAGACCCCTGCTCTACATGAGCATTACTCAAAGAGGATAATTATTAAAGATGTATTGTGAACTAGGGAAAGGCAGAAGCTTTACACTAGCTGGAGAGAGAAAAAGTTTTATACCAGTTGAAGATAAATCAGGAAACCGAGGAAAACTACCTGCAATGATTTTATGTTGACTCCTCCTGATGGTCCTTCCCTCTGATTATTGGGTGATAGGGATCTTTGAACGTTTTATCCTCTGGGATATTCCAATTCTTAGCCAGCTTTAAAAATCACGTGAGAGCAAAGGTGTTTTTTTATTTTAGTTTTCTGTTGCAGACAGGATTTGTGAATTGAGTGAATATAGGGTGGAAGAGGAGAAGGGGAGGAGGAGGAGGAGGAGGAAGACTATGTGGTCCTTGGTGCTCTCTTGAGCTTGATTGTTTTCTTGCAGACTTTACATGACCCAACTAGGGAACATCATCAGTGCTAGAAGAGAGTTGGGTTTGCATGGAGGAGGAGGAGAAGTGGGGAAAGAGGAGGAGGATTTTGGGGTCCTTGGGGGTCCTCTGAGCTGGGCTGTTTTCTTGCAGATGTTTCATGACCTAAGTAGGGAACCTCTTTGGGGCGCACCTCATTGCCTCTTCTCCTTCTTTGTTCTCCTGCTTAGAGAAGAGGCTTTCTAGGGGAATCTCCCACGCCAGCTCCGCCATCGTCTCTCTCGCCCGCTCTCACGTGGCCACCGAATGTAACAATGACCACTTCTCTCTGGAGATGCCCATCTACACCTTTCAACTTCCCGACCTCAGCGTTTACAGTGAAGATTTCAGGAGCTTCATCGAGAGGGACTTGATCGAACAAGCCACCATGGTTGCTTTGGAACAAGCTGGTGAGATAACCTTCAAGCCGAGCGTCCTGGCTGCTTCGCGGAGCCCTCCGTTAAGCCCAGGATGGCTGAACGCGGGTTACGGAAATCAGGAATGACAGCTAATCCCTGAAAGGTTGTCAACGGGTTAGGAAATGCCTGGGAAAGTGGTTAAAATGATCAGAGAGACGAAACTCTTGCAGTTCAAGGGGAGGCCATAGAAAAGGCTGTTCTAATAAGACAGCAATGTGTGGGAGGGTTCGGATAAACCTTTCTGAAATCATGAATAATGGAAGACTATGGGGCGATCTTGCTTTTTGGTCCCCTCTTACATAAGTTGAAGATATCTCTATGCAGGTGGAAGTAGTTGTTTCTTTAACCACACAAATAAATTTCTGCAGTCCACTGAAGATGTAGTTGAGGTTTACAGGTGACTTGAGTGTCCCCTGGGCCTCGTGAATAAACATAATTATCTGCCTTAGAAGCCCTGGCTGCTTCTGCATCTAATGAGGCCTTCAGAGAAATGGGCCTTTGAGGGAGCTGAACAGAGCAACCTTCTGTCCCAAAGGTGCTTTTTTTTTTCCAAGAGGCAATTGGACTTTCTGGATTTTTTTCTTTGAAGACGTTTCGCTTCTCATCCAAGAAGCTTCTTCAGCTCTGACTGGATGGTGGGGAATGGAAGGATTTTTACTCTTTGCAGGAATCTGGTCATTTGAGTTGTTGAGGCCCCTTGGAGGTTTACCTGTGTCCTCAGGGTCACCTGAGTAGTGCAACATCCTGCACTTTTCTTCAACAGAGAAGGGGCATGGCAGAAGATACCTGGCGTCCAAGAAGGCTCCACGCCTATTCACTGCTCAGGTGACCCTGAGGACACAGACACACCTCCAAGTGGCCTCAATGGCTTTCTGAAAGAACGCAAATGACCAGCTGTCTGCAAGGAATCTCAATCCTTCCATTCCCCACCATCCAGTCAGAGCTGAAGAAGCTTCTTAGATGAGAAGCGAAATGTCTTCAAGGAAAAAGAAAGAAAGTCCAGTTGCCTCTTGGAAAAAAAATAAAAGCATCGTTGGGACAACCATGACCTGAGAAGCTCCGTAGACAAAGCAGTTTTTGTTTCAATATGGTTGAAGGATGAATTTGGATCTGACTAGGTGTGCACAGAGAAGGGAATATAAGTAGCCCTTGACTTATGACCACAACTGAGCCCAGCGTTTCTGTTGCTAAGGGAGACATTGGTGAAGTGAGTTTTCTCCTATTTTATGGCTTTTCTTGACCACTGTTGGTTAAGCGAATCACTGCAGCTGTTAAATTAGTCCCAGGAGCAAAGTTGGCTTCCCTGCTGACTTCGCTTGTCAGAAGGTCACAAAGGAGACCATGTGGTCCCCCGGGATCCAGCCAAGGTCATAAATATGAACCAGTTGCCAAACTTCTGAATGTTGATCACGTGATCGTGGGGAACGCTGCAACGGTTATATGAAAAATGTTCCTAAGTCTATTTAAACATTGAACAGAGGGCTAAATCGGGGGCCTCCAACCTTGGCAACTTTAAGACTTATGGACTTTAACTTCCAGAATTCCTCAGCCAGTAAAGCTAAATGGACTGTTCTAAGTCAAGTACATCCTTGACTAACAACAGTCCATTTAGTCCAAGGGTCTCCAACCTTGGCAACTTTAAGACCTGTGGACCTCAACTTCCAGAATTCCTCAGCCAGCTTTGCTCTGTCCTCTGCTTTGTCCTCTGACGAGCCTTTTGCACTTCAGTTCCTACACGGAGCAGGTGATGGGCTGTTACCTCTCAAGGTGCCCAAGAAAGGCGTTGCTGAAAATGAGAACATGCGACTTCTAATTTTATCGCTCCCAAAGGCAGTCCAGCACACTTAGAAAGATGCTTCCCGAGTGAACTCCTAATTTAGATTTAATCAGAGTAGTTGGGTGAGGAAGCGTATACCAGCTGCTGCTCATTGAAGGTGGGTGGAGATTATCAAGGGCTTTTCACAAATCCAGCTGAGGTTGACCAATGATACACGTTTTGCTGGGCTGCAGAAAACTCCCGTTCTTGTTTGATTAAAAGGCCCAGAGTCTGGCTTGGTGTGGTTGTAGCTCCTGAATTTCTGAATTAAATAATGCTTTATTCGAGTGGATAAGGCAGTTGGGAATCAAATAATTAGTCTAGGAGTTAGTGGTCCTTGGTGCTCTCTGAGCTCGGTTGTTTTCATGCAGATGTTTCATTACCCAACTAGGCGACATCATCAATGCACTGATGGCACCTAATCAGGTAATAAAATGTCTGCAAGAAAACCACACCGAACTCAGAGAGCACCAAGGAGCCCATAACTCATCCCTTAGCTGCAAATAATTTCTTCTGTTGGTGGTTAGTGAAGTTTCTCAGTGAGTAACTTCAGAGCTGGAAGCTGAATGCAGCTCTCAACCTGAGGATAGAATTTACTGGCTAATCTCTTCTGCAAGCCTCTTCTCTTCTCTTCTCTCCTTCCTTCCCCCCTTAATGGATGCTTCATTACCTTCTCCAAGATTTCTTCACACCTTTATTGTACTGATGGTTGACTTACCCTAGGTCGGCTCAACTGGTGGTCAACGGCATGTACCAGCTGCAAGCGTCTTCTTCCATTGGCCACAACCGGGGATGGGAACTGCCTCTTGCACGCTGCTTCTTTGGGTAGGTGTCTATGTCTCCTTGGCTTAGGATACAAGAATGTCTGTTGAATGTCAACCACAGCTGGTTCTTCTGCCGCATTTACATCTATCCCTTCCTCCTTTCAAATAGAAAAACCTGGCCAGCGTCAATATTAAGCTCTTTTCCTTTCCGATTTTACTGATTTCACCTTATAACTACGCTACTTTTGGAGTGACTCTTACTGTAGTCTCATGCTTTAATTGGCTAAGTCAATGTGGAAGAGACGTATTTGGCCTGGGTCTGTACAATCGGTCAAGAATTTATGCAGAGAACTCTAAGGTCACCGTACAGGACAACCAAAGATTAGCACTCAACATCAAAGACTAGAACTAAACAGTTCACTATTTTAGTTATTTCTCCTGCAGTCCTCTTTCATGTCCTTGAAATTCAATATTGCCTATATTCTGGTTTCTCTGGGTTTCTTTAATTGATTAGGGACAGTTTTTATATGTTTGTATATTGGATTTTAATGGATTTTTATTGGATTGTTTTTAGCCTGCTGTGAACCACTCAGGTTCACTTAGATAATATGGACGGCTGTACAAATTGAACAAAGAATAATATAACTTTAGCAGATTTTATCTGAAAGGCTTTCAAATAATTGGAAGGCCTTCAACACCAAATGAATTATGCTTTCATTTATTTTCTATTTTGGTTTCTTTCTTGGGAGAGAGGGTTGTTGTTTTTTAAGACCTCAAGGTTTCTTTCCAACTTTATGGATCTGTGATTCTTTAGATACACCATCCAGCCTTTCTTTTGCTTGTTAGGGATGTGGGGGTTCCACGACCGAGACCTCGTCTTACGGAAAGCCCTTTACACCATGATGAGGAGTGGGGCCGAAAGGGAAGCTTTGAAGAGAAGGTGGAGGTGGCAGCAGACCCAGCAAAATAAAGAGGTTGGTATGTTGGGTGCTTCCAGAGATTTTCTCTGCTGAAAGGGCTTCATGGAACCCTTGTTTTGGGTTGAATGGAAGGTGGATGGAGACACAAAGGCCTTCCATTCCTGTTTCCCTTGGACCACAGAAGTTCTCAACTACCCCAGAGAAATCTGGAAGACGTTATTGAATTGCTCTTCGAGGACGTCGTCTCTCCCAACATCAAAGCATGTCCTTCCTGCCCAGCCATTGGTATCCGAGTTCTTCTTTTCTTCTGTTGTGGCCTGTTTTCTTTCTTCAAAGGAACAATGGGAGCGGATGAAACCCATCTGTGGCCAACAGTTCATCTTCTCGGGTGTAAATGTGAATTTTGGCACAAAAACTGATCTGGGGATCCCTTGAAGTTCTGCAGGTTGGAGTAGGACAATGTTTTCCAACCGTGGCAACTTTAAGATGGGTGGACTTCAACTCCCAGAATTCTCCAGGCAGCTTAGCTGGCTGGGGAGTTCTGGGAGTTGAAGTCCACCCATCTTAAAAGTTGAGAAAACCCTGGGATAGGACAACCTTCCTCCACCTGCACCCACTTCTCCTCCCAAGAAATATGCAAACCTTGAAGGTCTCTCCGTTGCCTTGGATGGGCTTCTTCTTCTTCTTCTTCTTCCCCACACTACGTTTTCTTTCTCTCTCAGTCAGGACTGGTTTATACGGAAGAAGAATGGGAGCGGGAGTGGAACGAACTTCTCAAGTTGGCATCCAGTGAACCTCGCACTCACATCAGCAAAAATGGAGGCAGCGGCGGTGGGTAAGTGGACATTTGCCCGGTTATCTTTTGTGGGTGGAGGCAGCCAGGG